ATATAACGTTTTGTTATGACTTTTTGTCATTTTAAAAGTAGCTCGCATGCTAAAAAAAAGTGTGGGCACCCCTGTCTTTTGGAATCCATGCAACCATCCGTTCGTAAAAATCTGTCTGTCTGTCCGCCTGTCTCTCCTTCAGTCTGTCCATTCGTCGTGCAGCTTCAGCAGATCAATCAGTCCATTAAAACCGTATCCGTGTGTCCGTCCGTCCAGTTGCCTGTCTGTCCATGTACTGGATCTGTCCGTTGTAGCTCTCCCTTCTTCAGGCTCTTGACAGTAGCCGGTGGCCATTGGAAGTGACCCTGTCAGCGCACTGAGGTGGATCCAGGGCCTGTGATTGGAGGGAGGATCCCCGTTTGGAGGCCGTCTTCCGGTTGCGGTGGGGGGTGGGCTTTTAGGCTGGGTCCTGGTTCCTGTATGGCGGGTGCGAGGGGGGCTGGGCCCGCGTGTGGGTGTGAGTGAAGCGTCGCATGCCGCTCACTTTGCTCAAGGACTCGGCCCTGCGCAGGCAAGAAGAAGAAGCGGCTCTTCAGCTCATCGCCGCGTTTCAATGACGCCCGGCGTCCGATCGCGCTGACGCCTCCGCTATGAGCTGCTTGGATGTGATGTACCAGGTGCTCGGAGCGCAGTCGTACTTCAGCCCCTACATGCCCTACCAGTACCAGCAGCAGGTATGCACACGCGCACGCCACAACTTGACCGTCAAAACAAATTCTATTCTTGCAAAAACGTGCTCGACTTCAACGACAACAAAAAATGCAAACACAATCAACTCTTGTCTTTTTTCAATGATTTCGTATTCTTTGAGGCTGCATGAGCAGCATCATTGGCTTTCCATTTTTGTTGTTTTTATTCAGGGCTATAAAATGAGTACATTATGTCACATATTTGTAGTTCATTCATTTTTTTTCCCCTTCAGCATTGTAGCAACATTAAAAGTAATAAAAAGATCGCAGAGCAAGTATTAAGAAGACATTTAAAAAAAAAATGTTACCAAGAATATTTCTATAGAATGTTTTTTTTTTTTTTTGCTCATTTTTTTCGCTCGGCAACATTCTCAACTTCATTTTGTCCTTTTCAAATCATTCGTCTTTCATTTTTGCTCCAATTTGCTCATTTGGAATGTCCAATTACTCAAAAGTTCATTTTGACATCAAAACAGGTTGTTTTGTTCTCAAATGTATTTATTGCCCCTTACACTCAATGTTGCTCGCGTTCAACTTCTTGACATTTTAATTGGCGGTTGCATAGATTTCATTGTACCTTGGTTGCATTTTTAAATTGGGTGAGGTGGACTTTATCTTCTGAATGGGATGTTTTCCCAAGATCTGCTTAATATATCATTTGGTGTCACTAAAATCCACATCTAAATTTAGATGGGGCGCACAGTTTGAATCTTGAATTCGTATAAAAATGTATTGACCATCTGTATGTTTTTTTTTTTTTTTTTTGGTATGTTGGCGTTTCTCATTAGTCGGATAACTCCACGGAATCTTCATCACCCAAGTAATTAAGTCTTGAAATAAATTAAAGGATACACAAATATGGATGCCGTCATCGTAGCGTCTGAAAGCATCGCTATAAGCTGCTTTTAGATTTTACGCTAATGTGTTTGAAAAGTAATCAACTTTCCGCGCCCGCCGCTTAATTGATTGACTCCATACGAGTGTTCGCCTAAGAGGAAGGACACACACGCACACGCACACACGCACACACGCATTTTGATTCAAAAGTCTTACTTATTTCTATAAGATGCTTTGATATGTTTTTGATAGAAATAACCTGCTTGTTTTTCATCAGGAAAAACGTAATTTAAAGATGAAATGTATCATTTTAGTCTGTGTAATTTCTCATGAATCATATTGACATTGGGATGGAGGGTTTCCAAACTGAGGCCCGAGGACCCCAAATGGTGGGTTTTATTGACGATTATCACGGTATGAATTGTAATGTCAGAAATGGCTTTTTTTTGGATATTCGCATCAGTCGTAATATTCATTTTTTGTGTTGTTTGTGTTGATGTTACGGCGATGCAAGATGACATTCGACAAATTGGTCACGGTTTGAATTGTGATTCAAGAAGAAGAAAATGATATCTTTCAATCAAAAGCAGAGAATTTTTATTATTTATGAATGGGAGGATTCTGCTATGTGATCCCGAAACCTGGACTTGAAACTCAAATCCCAAATTGAAACCTTTAATAGAAACACTGACCCCAATTTGAAACCCTAATTTGACACCTAAATCCTAATTTTAAACCCGCATTTGAAATCTACTGTAGACTTGGGTTTTGGGTCTTGGGGTTTGGGTTTCAAATAAAGGTTTCATATTGTTTGAAATCATGGTTTGGGAGTTGCACTTCCAATCTGAGGTTTCAACCAAAGGTCAAGTTTCCCCAGTTCGGATTTCAAAAAGACTGAAACTGTTGCCATTTGTTGTGTCAGAAGCTGACCTTGGACTCCAAAATGCAAGAACCTCAGCACGGCGGCGGCGCCGGCCGCCTGGGCCCCCCCGGACCCCCCACCATCAAGGAGGAAGACAAGGAGCTGCCCCCGGGGGCCGAGTACCTGAGCTCCCGCTGCGTCCTCTTCACATATTTCCACGGGGACATCAGCGCCGTCGTCGACCAACACTTCAGCCGTGCACTTAGCCACGCCTCCTCGTCCACGTCCTACCCCCCCAGCAGCCACAAGACCCTCAAAGGTATGTGCGGACTATGGTGTGCCTTATGGATCAGTGCTTTGCAAACATTTTCAACCAAATAGACCGAAGAAAAAGAAGTCGCACTATCATGACAACATTAAAATACAAGAGCTTCGTAAGCCTAAAGTGTTCAGCAAAACGCTGACAGGTTTTATCCCCAAAAATGATATTTAAAGACTCTGTAAAGTGAGTTCAAAGATTGGTTTTCAAAATACGTGATAGATGTTTGAAAACTTGTGCAAGGAATGAGAGCGACGTAGTCGTGGAGATTTGGCGTTGAACTCTTTTTGAGCATTTCTGTTTTCCTGATTTTTGGACCGCGGCTAAAATGGCACTGTGTGATTCACTTTGTTAGCTCGTGAGCTAGCTCTGCCTGCACCCCAAAAAAAAACAAAAAACATCACTTTGGATATTCTGCTTGGTGTGGTTGCTTTAGAGCGCCTCGTTGTTGGCTGCGAGTGCGTGGAATCCGACAATATCCTGCGCGTGGACCAGAGCTTCGCACTGGGTGTGGCCGCTTTTAAGCACCTCATTGTCGCGGCATGGAATATCCCGACCATGACCCGGTGGGATACATTCCAGATGGCGGAAACTGCAAGTGGATTTGATTTTGCGGCTCAAACGTGTAGTCACGTGGATACGTAAGAAAGATGCAAGACCAATAAAGTAGGAAACATTTTTGCGGTTTGTGGCAGTGTACTCAATTGAAATGTAAAATGAGTCGCAAACAATAATGTGAAATGAGAAAATTATTTTTTGCCGTCACTTCTATACAATACCCGTTTTGATAACTTGGCACAATGACAAAAAAATACATTGAAAAAAACAAAAGGAATGGCAATGTTTCTTTTGTTTCAAAATCACTCGACATCTGTATTATCATTTGCATTTTTCCACTTAAATATTTGCTGATTAGTTTCCATCTAAATGTAATATTTTGCCATTAAAATAACAACACCACTTAACATTTTATTTGAGGCACAGGAAGCAGGGCTGACGTGAACAGCAAATCTTAATATTTTTTTTTCCTCCAAATTGAAAATTTGAGATGTTGAGCTGTCACTGCTTGTTTTTTTTTTCCAGATGGCTCGTTCCCGATGAGCCAAAGAAATTTCCCGCCGTCTTTCTGGAACAGTTCCTACCCGTCTCCCGTGCCGTCCTCGCTGGCGAGCGCTCTATCGGCCCCCCACTCTGAACTGGCCTTTGCCGCGGGGGACCCGTACGCCCCGTCGTCCCTCCACGGCCACCTGCACCAGCCCGGCCCTGACGCCTGGCACCCGTCTCACCCGCACCACCCCCACCACCATCCCTACCCGCTAGGAGGCGGCATAAGCGCCCAGGGCTCACCGTACTCGCGGCCCGCCGTCCACGAGGTGTACGGCGCAGCGTTTGATCCGCGCTACGGCTCGCTGTTGGTGCCGTCCGTCAGGTCTCACCACCGCTTGGCGTCCGGTGGTGGCTCGGTGGGGCCGGCCGGCGGCGCGCACTGCGACCTGGGTGGGAAAGGCGAGGCGGCGGCGGCGGCTGCTGCCTGGAGCGGGACGTTCTCCGGAGTCGGCGAGATTGGACTCAACATGGACGCAGGTTAGAAACTCCAAATTTTAAATGGGTTGAAAATTGGCTTTGAGTTTGCCAGTGTACATTTTGTTCAGCAAAAACATACAGTTAATGTGGCCACAAAAAAACCCCCCAAAAAACCCCAAAACATTTCCGACTAAAATGGTAGATTTTTGCTTTTCGTGTCCCATGTAAATGTCAGATTTTACCATTAAAAAATTACCATTTTTTTGTGAACATATACAGTGTGTATATGTTCACAAAAAAAAATCAGATCACAAAAAACTACAAAGGATATATTTTGCAACTGAACTAAACTTAAAATTTTACTTAAAAATAGTCCTGCGTGTACATTTTGCCATTAAAACACCATATTTGGTCAACTTTCAAAATTTTTTTTGTTTTTTTTTGTTGAGCTTCTAATTCAGGAAAAGCCCACCAAAATGGTGGATTTCTGCTCAATTAAGCTTCACACTGTATTTGCCCACAAACAAAATCTGCATTACCCCACAAAAATGTGACCGTTTGATCATAAAATTGGAGAGTTTTGCTGAAAAATGCAAGTTTGGGACTAAAAGCATTTTCTCGATTAAAAAAAGTCAAAACGTGTTATCAGTGATATGTTCATTTTTTTAAATTAGTTTTCAACTCTACTGTGAACCGTCGGACTTATTAGGCTGATTGATCAAAACGTCGGAATATTTTGGTATCGCGAATGATTCTGTTTATATAAATACGCTTAAAGCAGAGGCGTCTAAATTGGACCTCCTCCTTTTTGCCGGTTTTGTTTTGACCAACTTTCCGCGTGCGCTCGCCGTCTCGGAATGAAAACAAAACGCGAACGGCCGCGTAACGAAGCAACAACATCGCCGGCGAAAAGCCCGAATGAATTCAAGACGGATTCCGCCGCCTGCTCGGCTCGTCTTACGCGGCGGCGGCGGCGGCCAGCTGTCTGCATCGCTTTTGTGTCACTTCACGCTTTCAGCGCCCTTTTTTTTTTTTTCCTCTCTCCTCTTTGATACCTTCTGTTTGTCTTTTCCACTGCTGTCCTCTCAGGTCTGCAGACACAGGACAAGAGCAAGGATTTGTACTGGTTCTAGATGCTTTTCCTCCTTCGCCCCGCTTCACTCTGACGGGAAACGAAAAAAAAAAGCGCGACACACAAACTGATTGACTCTCTGCTCGCGGCAACCTGCGTTGACCGCCGACGCTTGAAAAAGTCTTTGAGCGACTGTGACAAACGTGGGACGGCGGCGCTGGAGAAGTGGGGACACTCAGATGGGGGGGGGGGGGAGATAATGCCCTGGTGAAAGTTGGACTGATTACCAAAAGCCCCTTTCGTGCCGAATGGAAGCTGCATTTCTTTGCTCGTGACACAGCTGGTCAAAGCAAGTGAGAGATGTCGCCATGTCCGAAGTGTGCGTTTGCACTGCCATTGCGGCTTCGTTTTGTTTTTACTCGATGTTTTGTGATGACATTGTGACAGCAACAATTTCTTTGAACACAAAGAGAGGCTCCGTCATCTTCATCTCAGGTGTTAAAAAGGTCACTTTCTGCTCTCAGCCCATTACTCACTGACAGCTTTCCGTCCGTCTCTGTTCCGCCTCTCCTGGCAAACTCGACCCCCACCCTGTCCGCCCCCCCCCAATCCCCTTTTTGGATTGGTACTTTTTGTACAGGATGACTGGGAGAAAGCTCGCTTAAATGGCCTCGTATGAAAGTAGTTAACGTATCCCGTTGGCTGCGTGAAAGACACTCAGGTGAATCTCCTTTGTGCCAATTTTCCAGAATGTCAAAATCTAACATTGTCCCTGCTTTTTCCCCCCATGTTGCTGCTCCTTGTAAACAACTTTGACTCGCAATCATTTCCTGTTGCAACTGATGCGTCAGACTGTCTTGGTGAATGGGGCTTAAAGTCAAACGCTACAAAGTTTCTCACCATCAACAAAGATCCGACAGCAGACAAGTTGACACTTGGACTGATCCGCACCCCGCTGCCAGCCTACAAAAGGTCGAACGCAATTTGCTCACGCCCTCTCATTTCCACTTCCAGGGCCCATTTGGATGAAAAAGTTGAGCTTCAGATGATTGGTCGATTAGTTGACTAGTCAACTTTACTACTCGGCAAGTCATTTCAACGCTCATCGGGTGTGTTTGGCATTTCATGGACGCTGACGGCGTCTTCTCAAATGATTTCCTCACGTGAAACCCGCTCTGCGGTGCAAAAACGGTCAGGCTGGGGAAAAAAAAAAACATCAATGACATCAACCATTCATCAGCTTGGATCACTTGACAGTTTCATTTTAGTCCCTCTGTACCCTAATAACATGGTAAGCTGTCCACTGTCGTAACCGCTGTCCCCCAAAGGGTTAAGAAGAAACAAAAAAAAGTGATTGGAAAGTGGTTTGAATGTAACGCTCACGCCCGCGCCACAGCTTGGTGGTCGTAGAAGAGGGGTGGGATCGGGGCAAATTTTAGGAGGGTGCCGCTCGGCTATTTGGGGCCACTCGCTGACCCCCATGCAGCTGTCAACGACAACTGCTCGTCAACTTGCTGCACACACACACACAGTTGTGGATGCTCATACTTGTATATGAAGTTAATAAGGGAGAAGCATTTAGTGTGTGAAACACAAGCCTTTAATGTGTGCGTGTGTGTGCGTGCGTGGGTGCAGGCATGCGCGCGTGTGTGTCCATACAGTGCAGCTATGCCATTGTAAATATTTTGAACATATTGCCAAAAGTGATCCGGCGCGTCGACGTCCGTGTTGCTTTATTGAGAAATAAATGAAGCAATGTTGACTTGTGAGATTTGAATTGAAATCGACGTCGAATATGTCGTCTTAACTTTTGTCACAGGAGAGCCGCTTTGAGTCCGACAACTCTGCATGACGCGTTCAGACGTGTTCTGTGCAGGGGGTCGTGACTTAAGCAAGCCCCCCCCCCCCCCAAAAAATCAGCATCATGAAGACAAATGGGCATTAAAGGTTTCACAGGCAGCTGAAATCGAAATGAAGGTAAGTGTCATGTTCCTCGTCAGAATAAAGTCATAGTTGCATTCTTTTGACAAAACTTACCACATAAAAGAAAAAAAATCTTGAGTGGAAGGTTTTTAACCCTTCCATGCAGCCTGTAACCTGATGACGCGATAAGCTGCCCACTGTAGTCACTGCTGTCCCTGAAAGGGTTAAAACTGAGGCAAATACAGTCACATTTAGAAGAAACACATTTTTAATGGGAAAAAAAATCATTTTATAATCAGGGAAATGTGCTATAATGAAAAACAAATGTCAAAAAGTCCAAATTTTTCATAGAAGAAATTTTGGAGAAAAGTTTGGTACTGTTGAAAATAAAATAGGAGGATATTTTTTCAAGGAAAAAAAAAGTGATCATCTGATATGAATAAAATAGCAGGAAAAAAGTTGCCTTTTTTGATTCTGAATTTTTCAAGAATAAAATTCGACTCCAAGAACACGTGACATTTTTACAAGAAAAAAGGCCAAATTTTATGAAAATTTAATGTTCGTAAAAATTGAAAATATAAAAAGAAAGTTAAAATAGAGGGAAAAGTCGAACTTACAAAAAAGAAAAATGAAAAAAAGTTTAGTTTTTTTTTAAAGTGAAAATATGAAAAAAAAAGTCAATTGTATGAAAAAAAGTTATAGGACAAAGTTATTTCATTAGAAAAAATGTCTCAAGTTTAAAAGACCAAATTAATATTTATTTTTAAAGAAATGTTAAAAAAATAGCAAATTTAATTTGTCTTAATGGGATGAAAAAAATTCACAATTTGAATCGGAAAAATTTCTTTTGGCGAGAGTTTTTTTTTTATGGTTTCACAAGAATTTGTTTTAATTGTTGTGAGTTAAAAAAAATTACATCAAAAAAAAAAAATCAAATATTGTCTTGGGTTGTCCGCTCGCGCGTTGGTGGCGTTAAAAGCATCCCGCTCTTCCTCCTTTGATGTCGGCCATGAAGTCCCGATGAAGGGCGAGCGGCGCGATCGGGTTTCTCGCACTCCTGACGTCGTTTTCAGGCCCGACCGAGCGGAACCCACCTGGCACAATGGACGCGCAGCGTCCCCACGCATTCCACACATTTCTACACGCTGTTTGCTTACTCGCCAGACCACCCTGCCAATAAGGAACCATCCATTTGGTGAAATACCATCATTAGGTACGCTCACTATTTTATTTTTTTTTTTTTGTAATTTTCGAAAAGCGTCATTTCAGAATAAAAGCATGTATTTAAAAAAAATGCATTGTTGTAAAACTACATTTTTATTGACAAAATTCCCAAACATTTTCACGTGAAAAGATGTTTCTCGAATGTAGGATTTTAGTCTTTGTAACAATCTGAAAAAAAGAAGAAAGTTTTGTCTTGCGTGAAATGTAAACTTTTTCTGGAAAATTTAGATTTTTTCTCGTTTTTTTTCTTGGAAAAAAATTCTGATTCATTCTCATGTAAAGTGACATTTTTTTGTATCAAAAATAATTTAATTAATTTAAAATTAATTTACATTATTTTGTATTGTATTTAATGATTTCTGTTTTTTGGAAAGACCAAACTTGGTGTTCCAGCCCAATTCCAGATGAAGTCTTGTGACGGTGGACAAGCGGAGTCGCAGGAATTCATTACGTGGAAACAAAAGTTTGGATGGACATGTAACTTGAGAGGAGGCCCACCTTGAAGCCCTACAGCGACACCCCCCGCCCCCTATGCCCCCCACCTCCAGGACCCTTGGCCCATTTCCTGCCCACAAGTGTCAACAGGTATCGCAGGGCCTCGGGCTTTTTGTTTGGCTGTGTGTGTGTGTGTGTGTGTGTGTGTGCGCGTGTGTGTGCGCGTGTGTGTGTGGTTGGGGATAGATGAGCTGCGCTTTCGTAACCAAAGTTGAGGATTTTGTTGGAATGGCTTTAAAAAGTAGCCCGAGGTCAGCATGTAATCCCAACAAAATCCCCCAAAAGTGAGCACACCAAAATATGCATTGTTTTAGGGGATAAAAGTATTTGTGTGTGCATGCATATACACACACACACACATATATATATATATATACACCGTGGACACTCACTACACTTTTAGAAACACATTTGCTGGTGAAGATGCCATGCGTGGATATAAAACAATAATTCTGTATTAATCCAGTGAGGTTTTTTTGCTTGATGATACAGCTCTTGGGAAGCATTTTCACAATTTGCTTCACTTTGCCACATCTAATACTTGGTTCGGAAGGCAGATGATACCCTGAGCTGGTCGCCAGTCAGTCGTAGGGCACACACAGAGACAAACAGCCATTCACACCCACATCCACACCGTCACCGAGTTGGGAAACGATCCCATGCCGCCTGCACACAAGTCAGGCAAATGTACCACTCCACCATATCTCTCTCTCTCCCCCCCCCCCCTCCCATTTGTGTGTGTGAGAGAGAGAGAGTGAGAGCGAACAGGTGCACATAGTTTGTGTCATTGGAAGCCCGATTGATGGAGAGTCTCTTACCGGGATTCTCTTACAGTGGCGCTCACAAAGCCAGACAGCTGGGTACTGTACACCGTACTACAAGTACGACCACCGCTACTTCTACTTCTACAACTATCTGTATGTGCGTGCGTGTGCGCGCGCGTTTCCTGAAACAACACACACTCTTTGTGATGATGCCACATGAGGAGGAGGGGAAGCAGCTGAGGGTACAAGAGTTTATCACTGCACACATGCTCTGACTTCTCATGCGAACGCACACATAAATAACCTTGTCGACTGTTATATAATGATATATTTCTATAAATGCCAAAAAAGCATGCCTAAAAAGATTTCAAGATGTTCTTGTTCTGAAAAAAACAATATTTGGCTTTTCACGTTCATATCATGTTTGTCGCCCTCTAGTGGTGGAAGTGAGGACGGCAAGCTCCTCGCTTGGCGTCATTCAGCTGCGAAACAAAGGCCGACAGAGGCCAGTAAAACAACAATCTCCCTCTTTTAATTCTTATTTATAAATGTTCTTTTTTTTTAATAAGTCACCTTTTTGTCTATTAAGTCGTGTTTTTACAAGAATTAAATGAAAAATATGGATTTTACAAACCCCGAATTTACCAACGTGTGTATATGTAATATCGTTCTTGTCCACTTGAGGTCGCCCTTCTC